ATAGATAGAAAAATATTAAGGATGCCATTTGCTAAACGATGTCCCTGTCAAACAAAGTTGGTTGCATATCACTATCACGACTCATGTGCCAAATGATAGTCAAGAAAGTAAAAAATGATGTGAAAATTAAGGGTTAGATTGCATATCACTGTCACTGTGTGAAAATCAAATCTTAAAGAAGGTCATATTTTTTTTTTTTTGTTCATAATCTTAAAGAAGGTCAGTGTTAATTTATCCTTATAAAAATATTGTATTGATTGAGAAAGGCCAGAAAAGGAAGCAACTAAAGAACAAGACCAAGTCCAAGAGATAAGGGCCAGACACAAAAACAATACAAGAAAGTTTGCATTTTACTTAAGGATGCCGTTTGCTAAACGATGTATCGGTCAAAAAAAAAAAAATTGGTTCCCTATCACTATCATGAATCATGTGCCGAATGATCGACAAGAAAGTCAAAAACGATGTGAAAATTAAGGGTTAGGTTGCATATCACTGTCACTATGTGAAAATTAAATAAAAAATGAAGTGAAAAAAAAGTTAGGTTCCCATCATTTTGCATTTCTAGCCACTGAAACTTAAAAGGAACTTATTTACCGAAAAAAAAAAATTAACAGGAACTCATCAGTAACGAGACTCTCCCCTCGCACATTTGAAAATGGATTCAACGATCTGTTTATGGCTATCTTGTCTCATCACACTTCCTGCAATTCTCCTCACCTTTCTTGTGTTCATTTTGAAGAAAATCATCAACACTTCATCAGCACCAACAGTACCACCTCTGAACACTTCTTCATTGTGTTCATTTTTTATTTTACGACAATGATGATGAATGAAAAACAATACAAGAACATTTTAACATAAGTATGTGTTTTCTTTGCTGACTATGACACCTTCGTATAAATTGAAAATTTTGTATAATGAAGTTGATTTTTTAGATAAAAAGTAATATTGATATGTAACCTCTTCCACCTACCCAAAAACAAATTATTATTTCTTCAAATTTTCAACATAAGCATGCGTTTGCTTGCTGACTATGACACCTTCATGATGGTAATTTTTTTAATATATTTATATAAATACTAATATTGATATGTAACAACCTATCCCATATATACCTACCCGAATACAAATTATTATTTTTTCAAATTTTCAACACAAGCATGCCTTTGCTTGCTGACTATGACACCTTCATGATGGTAATTTTTTTAATATATTTATATAAATAGTAATATTGATATGTAACAACCTGTCCATACATACCCGAATACAAATTTATTATTTCTTCAAATTTTCAACATTACCATGCTTTTGCTGACTATGACACCTTCACATAAGCTGGAAAATTTCAACTATGGTGATCTTAATATGTTCTTTCCTCCATTTGGTTCAACAATAAAGCTGTTATTTCTCAAACTTTTGACACGAACATGGTGATCTTAACTTTTGACACAAACAGATTTTAGTATTTTTTTTATTTGGTTTATTTATTTATTTATATTTTATATTTTTTAAAGAGTTTTTAATTTTAGGTAATTTTCTTTATATTTTTAGTTTACTTACGTATTTGGTTCCCTTTTGTTATTAGTTTTCTTTATAGTTTTAGGGTTTACTCGGTTGAAGAGCTGTTTATACATTTGGTAATATTGTAGATTGCTGTATCTAGCAAGATATGGTTGTCAAAAGGGCAATATAGAACGTAGATTATAACAAGACATTAGTGCTAGTTGCAAGGTTTTCAACTTTTCATCAGTCCATCTTATGTTATCATTGGTTGTTTATGTGCACATAGAGTTGCTCCTAATGGATGTAACTGTTTGATAGATGTACTTGAAATGAATGTACATAGTTAGCGGCTTTGCAGTCAAAAGGCTAGCCATATGTTTTTGAAATAGCCAATTCTCTAAATCATTATATATTCCACTCTTGATTTGGAAAAATGGAAAATGCATGTAGAGGTTCCATTGGTTAGTTATAAGTGACGTCACAATAATTTTTGTTTGCAAGAGACAATACTCTCATATTGTTTATTCAAAATCTTTATCCCAACCGGAAAATTCCTTAGGGCAACATTTTATCTGTGTAATTTAGTTTGCTGAAACTTACAATGGGTGAAAAGAGATTGAAATAAGAATGCCAATGTAAATGAAATTAATAAATAATAATAACTCTTGAAAAGGAGATATTTGTCTAAAAAAATGTCTTAAATGAGAGTTTTAAGTAAGGATGGCAATTTATGTTCACATATCATAATCGTATTAATATAAGGGTATTATACTGAAGAGGTCAACACTAACCCGACCTATTTATAATCGTGTCAGGGACTCTCAATACTAAACCGGTCTGTTTATTAAACGGGTTAAACGTATTAACCTGTTTAATGACCTATTGATCAAAACCTAACATTATATTATTTAAATTATTTATAATACTCAATCAAATAATAAATACTATAAAAAATATACATTATCTAAAGAGCTAATGTATATTTTTGTTAAGGCTTATGTTGAAATGACCTACTCATCTATAGTGATTGGATCTAAACAAGTAATGAGATACAATAGTGATATTAATACAATTATAAAACTCTTAGTTAAACGGGTCTAAATAGATTACATGTGTTGAACCTCTCAACTTTATCACGACACTATTAATTAAACGAGTTAATCATGTTGACCCGTTTATGACCCAAACCCATTTAAGGTAAATTCAAATCCGTTTATCTTGTGCCATGTTCGAGTCGTTGACGAGTTGTGTAAAATCATGCCACCCCTAGTTTTAAGCCATCTATCTGCCCATTTGGTTAGCATGTTTCAATTTGGTTGGTGATTTCTCACTAATTCAAGACCAAAGCAACTGGTAAATTCTTCCTAAATTTTACTCCCATCTCTCTCTCTCTCTCTCTCTCTCTCTCTCTCTCTCTCTGTATACACATATAGTCACAAGTATATATTTTGTATTTGTGTATGTTGGGATTGAGGTTTGAGGTCTGATTGCGAGGAAGCTTACTTCAGAGTTCAGACGAAGGAAGTCACAGGGAACAAACTTTTTCCCTTCCTAAGGATTTTTCTAGTAAATAACACTGTTCCTTTAACATCACTTTCAGTCCACCGAATCTTACCACGTTCACATTCAAAACAATAATGATGAACCCATTCTTCTTTTGATGCCTAGTGTAGAAATTTTGCACGTTGTAAAATAATCTGTTTTTCAACCAACATGACAAATATATCACCCTTGTCTTGTCAAATTACAATGTGAAAATCCGATCAAAATCGGCCCACTTATTTATTATCATTGTTTTGGTTAAATTTCATTGTCTAGATTTTTTATTTTTATTTATTTATTTATTTAATTTTTTTTTTTTTTTTTTTTTATCGTGCATTTCAGTGTTATGGGAAGAAAACAATTTTTTTTTTTTTTTAATTCGTTTACTAATGATCAAATCAGACTCGAATTTATCTAATTTTTATTAGAAAGAAAACTACTGACTACCAATTACTTAACATAAAACTCAAATTAGTTTTTACTTTCTCAACAATTTATTCACTTGAGTTACATTTATAAAACAAACAAATAAAACATCTTAACATAATTTGGGTGGATGAATAATATAATGACAAAAACTGGGACCCATTTTTTTGCCGCATAGTGGTTGTGGAAATTTTATTTTTCGGAAAGTAGAGGTAGTGGAATTATGTTGCACAAAATGATGGCCAATTGTAGGCAAGATTGTTAAAATCGGGATTCTACGCAAAATAGTTTTGGGCTTCGTAGAATTGAAATAGTAGAATTGGATCGTGAATCGTAAGATTCTACCAAATTTTAAAAAAACAATTGAAACTAACTTCTTAAACAATAAAATCTATAAAATCTAACAAAAATGATATCAAAACACACAATATTATATATCCATGAGTTCACAAATCTCAAATCCTAACAATATTTCAAAGTCCGAATATAAATAAAAGAGAATGTAGTTCAAAATAACATGAGTTTACAAATCTCAAATCTTAACTCATACATTTCCAAAATTAGAAACTAAAATTACATATTAAAAGGAAATTTTTTTATTAACTCTATGCAATTTCCTTTTTTTTTCTTTTTTTTTTTTTCAAAAACTGAAGAAATAAAATGACGTTTTTGTCCACCAATCTAAGTGTTACGGTGTATGTGACCTTATTAGTCACAAGTATGAAATTAATCAAGAGTTAGCACAACAAATTAATGAACCATGTGTTAACTCGATCTCATTATATTATCAGTTTAGACTACAAGATTATACCTTGGCTCGCATATCCGGTAAGTCTTTTAAGCTTTTAAATTATTTTTAATTTTTAAAATATATGATAAGCCTTCAAAAAAAAAAAAAAAAAAATTAGTCAAATGAAAATATTGATTATGAAACCAAAATTTGCCTAAACCTATTAGTCACGAGTATGCATCCTTGAGATATAATTGATCTTTTTAATTTTTTATAATTAAACACAAAAATATATTATGGAACATTGACATGCATGGTAAAAATAATTGATATATATACATATATATATTTCTTTTTCTGCCACTAATGAAAAATAATTTATATTTTATAGAATAAATATATAACTTTGTATACTATACTTGGGCCAGACCTCTTTTATTTTGTAGCCCAGAAGAAACCAACCAAAAAAAAAAGGGCCCAAAAATAAAGGCCCAAACAACCAATTTTGTACGATTCTATCTCCGATTCTACGATTCTACCCCCGATTCTACCAATTGAGCGATTCTGCTACTATTTGACTCGATTTTGAGTTATGAGTCGTAGAATCGTGCGATTTTACGACTCAGAATCGCGATTTTGATAACTATGATTGTAGGCCATAAAAAAGCTTTCCATTTAGATTCATTCAAAACAATACTGGTAATGATAAATAGGTGAACACCTACTAATAATTAATTTCTCATCATTTTCATTTCTAAGCACTCATCACTGCATAAGCCTCTCCTCTCACACCTTTGAAATGAACACTTCATTACCACCTTCCAACACTTATTCATTGTCCACCTTTCCACCTGCTACTACAGGATGGGACTATGAAGTCTTCTTGAGTTTCAGAGGCGATGATACTCGTAAGAGATTCACTGATCACCTCTACTGCGACCTTCGGGAGCAAGAAATCCACACGTTTAGAGACAACAATGCGCTTCGCCTTGAAGAGAATATTACTGAGATTCTCAACGCAATCGAGCACTCAAAGATATCCATTCCCATCCTTTCCAAAGACTATGCTTCGAGTGAGTGGTGCCTGTGTGAGCTCACCAAGATGGTTGAGTGTAAGAGGACTCGGGAGCACATCATAATTCCCATTTTCTACGATGTCAAACCGTCCGATGTGCGAGAGCAGAAGGGGAGTTACGAAGAGGCCTTTCGGGAACACGAGAAGAATTTTGATGGTGATACTGTGGAGGCTTGGAAGGAGGTTGGGGGATTGACGGGACGCGAAGTGAAGAAATTTGCTGATGGGTAATTGCATCTGTATATCTACATTCCTACATGTATATACATATTTATAGTTTATATATATATATATATATATATATATATATATATATATATATTGATTCTGCTCTTATTACTTTTCATGTTATTTACCACCCGATGGTATTCTCCCCAAAGGGGAGCTTGAGTTTTGGAGCCATGCTAACTTGGGGCAATATTATGGGTGTGTATGTGTACATTGATTGAACTTTCAGAGAGAAAAATAAAATCATCATTATTTTCCTCCTTTTTCGAGCCAACTTCGAACTTGTTTAGTTAAGTTTAACTTAATTTACAAACATAGTTATCAAAATCGCAATTCTGAGTCGTAGAATCGCATGATTCTACGACTCAGAACTCAAAATCGAGTCAAATCGTAGCAGAATCGCTCAATTGGTAGAATCGGGGGCAGAATCAGTAGAATCGGGGGTAGAATCGTAGAATCGGAGGTTTCGTACAATTCTACCCGATTCTAACGATTCTACAAAATTGGTTGTTTGGGCCTTTATTTTTGGCCTTTTTTTTATTTTTTGGTTGGTTTCTTCTGGGCTACAAAATAAAAGAGGCCTGGCCTAAGTATAGTATACAAAGTTAAAAATTTATTCTATAAAATATAAATTATTTTTCATTAGTGGCAGAAAAAGAAATATATATATGTATATATATCAATTATTTTTACTATGCATATCGATGTTCCATAATATATTTTTGTGTTTAATTATAAAAAATTAAAAAGATCAATTATATCTCAAGGATGCAGACTCGTGACTAATAGGTTTAGGCAAATTTTGGTTTCATGATTAATATTTTCATTTGACTAATTTTTTTTTTTTTTTTTTTTGAAGGCTTATCATATATATTAAAAATGAAAAATAATTTAAAAGCTTAAAAGACTTACCGGATATGCGAGCTAATGTATAATCTTGTAATCTACACTAATAATATAATGAGATCGAGTTAACACGTGGTTCATTAATTTGTTGTGCTAACTCTTGATTAATTTCATACTTGTGACTAATAAGGTCACATACACCGTAACACTTGGATTGGTGGACAAAAAGGTCTTTTTATTTCTTCAGTTTTCGAAAAAAAAAAAAAAAAAGGAAATTGCATAGAGTTAATAAAAAAATTTCCTTTCGATATGTAATTTTAGTTTCTAACTTTGGAGATGGATGAGTTAAGATTTGAGATTTGTAAACTCATGTTATTTTGAACTACATTCTCTTTTATTTATATTCGGACTTTGAAATATTATTAGGATTTGAGATTTGTGAACTCATGGATATGTAATATTTTGTGTTTTGACATCATTTTTGTTATATTTTATAGATTTTATTGTTTAAGAAGTTAGTTTCAATTATTTTTTTACAATTTGGTAGAATCTTACGATTCACGATCCGATTCTACGATTTCGATTCTACGGAGCCCAAAACAATTCTGCGTAGAATCCCGATTTTAACAACCTTGTTTACAAATTAACAACAGTTTGTTATTCAAATGAATTTTGAATCTACTTTCTATTTTTTATTTTCTGAGAATAGAAAAAAACTGTTGAAAATTTAAATAGGCCATATATATTTTCATTTTTCCCATATACATGTGACATCAATTATGTTTGGCAGGCATGAAGGAGCACTGGTAAAGGACATTATTTCAGAGGTATGGGAAAAGCTGAAAAGGAACTTATTGGATGTAAATCATGAACGCTTAGTTGGAATTGATGTTCATGTAGAAAAAATGATGAAATTCTTGAGTGATAATTCCATTGATGTAAGGATTGTGGGAATCCATGGCATGGGGGGTATCGGCAAGACCACTATTGCCAGGGTCATCTACAACAATCTCTCCAAACAGAAAGTTGAATTTGAATCATGTTGCTTCCTTGCAGATGTTAGAGAAAAATCGCCCGATGGTCTTGTTGTTTTGCAAAACCAACTTGTATCTAGCATCTTGAAACAGGGACACTCTATCTTAATTTGGTCTATGGAAGAAGGAATTAATGCAATCAAACATAGATTTTCTGGGAAGAAAGTTCTTGTTGTTGTTGATGATGTCGATCACATAAACCATCTCCTTGCATTTGCACTTTTGGGTAAGTGTGATTGGTTTGGTTCAGGAAGTAGGATAATTGTCACAACTAGAAACAAAGAGATCCTAAATCTGCCTGAGGTAGATTGTAGGACTTATGAACCAAAAGAATTGGATAATAATCAATCTCTTCAACTTTTCAGCAGACATGCTTTTAGAACGGACCATCCCCCAGAAGACTTTGTTACTTTATCTAGAGATGTTGTGTCTACTACTGGAGGGTTGCCTTTGGCTCTTGAGGTTTTTGGCTCACTTTTTATTGGCATCGAAAAGGAGGAATGGGAAGATAAAATAAACAAGTTGAAAAGTATCCCACATAAAGATGTGATGGATACGCTAAAAATAAGTTACGATGCATTAGACTGTAATCAACAACAAATATTTCTTGACATTGCATGCCTTTTCATTGGGGTGGATGAAAGAATTGCTGTACACATGTGGAATTTTCCCAAAACAGAGATAAGAGTTCTACGCCGTCGGTTGGTGAAAATTGGAAATAATAATGAGCTAAGAATGCATGACCAGCTTAGAGACCTTGGTAGAGATATTGTTCGTCAAGAAAATGTTGAAAAGCCAGGGAAGCGTAGTAGGGTGTGGTTTCATGATGAATCCATCGACGTATTGGAGACGCATACAGTAAGATCCAACTCCTTCCTGATGTCCTTGTTACGCATTAATTTTCTTGTCACCTTACTAACACAATTATGTATGAGCTATGAACTACTAAAAAATAGCCCTTTATACATTCTCTTTCTACTTCGCCCATTTTAGCAATTTTTAATGTCAAGAATCTCCAACAATTTCTCCTCTCACACATTTTTAATGTCAAGAATCTCACAATTTCTCCTCTCATCTTTTCAGTTATATCTATCAACTCCTCCTTTCCATATTCTTCTAAACTCGTCATGTTTTTTATTTGATCAAGCAGATTAGTTAATTATCTTTATGTTTAATTTCTAGGTGAGAAAATCTTGCATTTTGATAATTAAAACACTTTCAATAAATCTTGTATAAGGTCAGTTCTATTGTTCTTTAATTTACCTTTTTTTTAATATATAAATATGTTTTATTTAAATATGTGAATTAGGATTAGTAAAAATTTCTAAAAGTAAAAAAGAAGGGGTTGGGTAAATTGTAATGACCCGAACTCATGGGTCCGAACTGTTTACCAGATTCTTACCCGAACCCGAGGTCAATTATAAAAAAATAAAAAAAAATAAAAAAAAAATTGGTATGACCTCTGCTAAAAAGTATCCTACAACAAATGCTTAAATGCATAAAAATGCAATGGCCTCTCTTGGACCTTCAAAATTTATCTAACCTATCTTAAAACACTTTGAAATGCATCATACTACTTTCATGGATGAAAAACATCATTAATTATTTACAATTACAACTTCATTAACCCCATTCACATCAAAAATATATATGATCTTTACAATTGTCCAATTTACATCATAATAGAGTCAAGCTCAAAGTTACACTACAAGGCCATGCCAAACAAGTTTAATACATTTTTGTCGTTAATGCTCTACAAAAGAATCACTCTAAAACACTAAATGGTGCAAAACATCCCTTCTAGTCCCATCATTTTTGTGGAGTATTGTCATCTGCCACTTTTTTACTGTGTCTTGAAAAATATTAATAAAGGGGTGAGTAAAAGCTCAGTAGGAAGTGCCTAAGGTACACCTCTTGAGACCCCGTGAATCCAAACAATGAATAAAAACAAAGGAAACATGATCATGCTATGCCGGGAAAAAACACAATACAAGTTCAAGTCATAATGGAATAAATTCATGCCATGAGATGCAATGCCATGTACGTTGCTCCCCTTTTCTTTTCTTTTTTTTTTTTTTTTTGAAATCCAATCCATCACTTTTTAAACCGTTAACATAACCCGTCCCTCGGTGACTCTTCGGCGACACGAGAGAAGGATTGGCTACTGTCCTTGTAATGTTCCTGAATTTCGTCATTTTCCATTTTTGGTTTTTCTGTTTTTGAAAGGGCATTTTCGTCTTTTCCATTTTTATGTGTCACATTGGCGCTAAAGGGAGTTTTGGTCATTTTCTTGAGCCGAGGGTGCTAGTGATTTTATATATATATATATATATATATTTATCATTTTAAGTCATTTAAGAGTGGTGGCATCATTCTAAAAAAAAATTTCGAGGTTGGAACGATTTTTCCGGTTCGGGAACTTCTCCCGGTTTTCTCATTTTAAGTGAGGGGCATTATGGACATTTCACTCATATGTTTATATTCATATATTTACATAATTGGGAATATATTTTGGAGGATAGGGGAGGCATTAAATGGGATGAACAAGAGTAAGATTGGAATTTCACCAAGATTAGAGATCATTTCTTGTTTGACAAGTGGCACCATGAGAACCATTTGACCAAGTGCAAGACCAACTTTTTCCCCTTCTCTTCCATTTTCGGGTATCCCCTTCCTCCTCTTTGCTTTTCACTTTTCTCTCTCTATACTCCACATCTATGTATCACATTCATGCCTATACAAATTCAAGCTTTGATTTGAGGTGTTTGGAGTGAGCTTTAAGGAAAATTGAAAGGAGATTATTAAGGAGCTTGAGGAGGGCTTCCATTTGGCACCCATATTGCTAGGGTTTGGAGAGATCAAAATTTAGCTTAGCCTTAGGCCTTGTTTGGATAATCACTTTGAGGTAGGGGTGTTCTAATCCACTCAATCTTTGATTTTTGTGAACTATCTTCTTATATTTGATGTATAACTTGCTTCTTATATTGATGTTTAACTTGCTAAATTGAGTAATTCCTTGAGTAATTGCTATAGTGTTATATGTAAACCTTGTGTATCCATATGGGTATTCATGTAAAGGTGATTCATGAGTTGTTGTTGTTGGATTTAATTGAAAATTATACTTAAATGGTTATGTTTTCAATTTCATTTGCTTAGTTGCTAAAGTTGAGTGTTAGTAAGCATGTTATAATTCTATTAGAAATTTCCTTGTTAAGCATGCTATATTGTGAGGTTGAATTGTATGGAAATTCTGTATTGTCATTGCATTGAAGAATTTTCATAATTCATACATTATCATTGGGAAAGGAAAAAGGGAAAGATGTTCTAAAAACAAGTGAATCTATTTTTGGAAAATGTTTTGAAAAGTGTTGCGAAAACCGGATGCCTAGGAGGCGCCTAGTGGTCCGTGTTGTTAGTGTAGTCTAGAATGGAGTGTGATTGAGCTAACTAGGCCGGATGCGACGCCTTGGAGGTGCCTTGTGGTCGTGGATAGTTAGTCAACCCTCCATTCGTGACGCCTTGGAGGTGCCTTGGGTTGGATTACACTAACGGTTTGAAAATTGAAACGGAAATGTTTTGGGTATAGGGAGCGACATTTGCTTGGCATTGCACTTCATTAGACTATATGGCGTGTATGTGTTTGAATGATAATTATCATTTGCTAGTTAATGTAATTTTTGCCATATAAACCTTGTGTCATGACCTCGTTTTCTATCTTACCTATTCTTACGTGAATTCACGGGGTCGTAAGAAGTGTGTCTTAGGTACCACCTATTGAGCTTAGGCTCACCTCGTTGTTATTTAATATTTTTCAGGTTCAGAAAAAGAATTGACAGACAACAATCCTCCACAGCTCTAGACTGTAGTAGAGCCACCATTTTGTTGCCTTTGTATAGACTTATGATCTAGGCTCTTGTAACGACCCGAATCCGTGGGTTCGAATCACTAACTAGGTCTTTACCCGAACTCGAGGTCAACTAAGGACACTACCGTCCTTTCCTATGTCAATGCATATTATACGTGTTATTCCAGGGTTTATAAAAAAAATAAATAATAAATAATAATAATAATAATTAAATGAGATCATAACTACAAAGTATGTCAAAATAGTCCACTAACCCATCAAGACCTGTGGAGGAGCGTCGTCCCCCACTTTCTTCCCGTATCCTGAAAAAATGTTAAATACTGGGGTGAGCTAAATGCTCAGTAGGAGGTGCCTAAGACACACCTCTTATGACCCCGTGAATCCACTTATAGAATAGAAATCAAGAAAATGGGATCATACTATACCAAGGATATAATCCATAACCACAACGTCAAATATAACCACAATTGTCATTCAAGTCACAATTATACCATATATGCCAATGAAGTGCAATGCCATGCCCATGTCGCTCCCCATTTTCCGAAACATTACCATTTCAACTTCCAAACCGTTAGTGCAATTCGACCCAAGGCACCTCCAAGGCATCATGAAGGGAGGATTGGCTAACTATCCATGACTACAAGGCACCTCCAAGGCTTCACATCCGGCCTAGTTAGCTCAATCTCTAGTCCCCTCTAGACTACATTAACACTACGGACCACTAGGCACCTCATAGGCGTCCGGTTTTCGCAAACACTTTTCGAAAATGATTTTCTCAAAACGATTTCATTTACTTAAACAAAACACTTTTCCCTTTCTCTTTCTTTCCCAATGGATGCATGAATGCTTCATGCTTCTAAACACAATTCAACTTTTGAATTTCACACATGTTTTCCATAATAAATTTCAAAATGCGTAATTCATGCTTTCATTCAACATTAATTTTACATAATAAACATACAAGGCAGAAATTATATTCCACATAGGCATGCTTATACATAAAATATCAACTAACACATAATCACATTTCTTATATACATCATTTAAGCATGCTTTCTCCTCAAATAATAATTAACACATAACCACACATCACTTGTATAACAATTAAGTCACATTTGCAAGAATCCACAAAATTTAGGCATGCTTTACAACAATTAATGAAAGATAATTCACTAAAATCCAAGAAAATGTGAATTAGAAACCCCTACCTCAATTTTGTAGAAAAATCCTTAAAATGGGTCCTAAATTTGAAATCCCTAGAGTGCACCAAAACCACTTTTGCTCCGATCAAATCGTAGATCTCGGCGCGCTCTTCGTTTTGCCGCAAACAACTCCCAAAAATACCAAAAGATGAAGGAGAAATCAAGGATTAAATTTTTGTTTTGAAAAGAAAAAGAAAATGGATCAAGAAGGGGGAGAGATTAAGAGCTTACGGGAGTGAGTGAAAATGTGAGGCCAACATGGCCTTTTGGCCACAATTTATATAAGTGGTGGCTCCCACCACTTTTAATTTAACTTTTCCTTTAATTTTTTTCTATCACAAAAATATATATATATATATATACCATAAACATTACAGCTCTTTTGTAAAGATCAAGTATAGTGGTGTAATGTTGTAGAAACCAATGTAAACTATGGACTGTGAACTATATAAAATTTTTACTCTTTTGTAAAAGACTATGAAGAACTATGTTTGATTATGTTGCTATTGTGCTTAAATGAAGATCAAAATTTGTATTTTAATGGTTTTACATGAATTGGGACAGGTTTAGACTTGATTAAGATCACCAAGAGACCAAAGGGGATTCCCATGTACAAGTGCACAGTTTTTAGACCTCTAGGCCAAATATTTAGGTTCTGGGCATGTTGAACCGGTTCAATACCTTTAAACCGGTTCAAGGGAGCATTTTTGGTTCACGTTTGGGCTCACTGCCCATCTTGAACCAGTTCAAGGTCCTTGAACTGGTTCAAGTCCTCAGTAGGCACAAATTTGCCTTGGTAGCTCAGCTTTTGATCATTCAACTTCGGATGGTCATAACTTCTTCGTTCCAAACCCAAACGGGGTCATTCTTGAGCTCATTTTCAAATATTTTGAGTTAGCTTTCCAATGGTACCAATCTCATCTCCAAATTCCACTCATGTTGAGAGTTATAGTCATTTTAGTGGGACGGTGTCGGAATTCTATTCAAACCGGGAAGGGGTACTTTCGGGAATTCTTATCCGATGACCGTAGAACCTCACCGTGCATCATGAAATGACTAAGATAATTGTTTTAGACCTCATTAGGCTGGTTTTAGGTCTTATTACCCACTCATAGAGTAAAATGACTATTTCACTCCTGGTGTGTCCTCGGGTTTAGTTAAAGACTCGGTTAGTGATCCGGACCCCCGGTTTGGGTCATTACAATCCTGACCCTTTGTAACCCCGTGGCGTCATTTGGGGCCCAGATAGCTCAACCACGCTAGGGTGATTTTCTAATTCCCTCTAGGTTACACTAATTCCACGGACCCTTGGTACCTCCTTGGCGTCCGAGTTTTTCACTAAAACCTTTCCAAAACTTATTTTCCCAAAAAACCCATTTTCCATTGCTTTCAAAACAACTTCTCATTTCTTTCCCAATGTTCATGCATGTATGCCTCATGCTTCACAATCTCATACATGAATGAACATGCCAATGCTCATCAATATACAACCACTTCTAGCTTAAAACACATAGCATGCTTTACAAGAACTTCAAAATAAATAAAACATACTTACATTCAACAATAATTTGGCAAAGCAAGCATATAAGGCATGAATTCTACTTTATACAAGCATGCTAGTCCATGTAAAATCAACTAAAGCACATAATCACATACTTTATTTGCAACAATTTCATCATTTTAGAGGAAAATCAATACAATTAGCATGCTAAACCACAAATTAAGGGAAATAATTCACAAAAATCCAAGATATTGTAAAATAAACACATTTACCTCCAAAATGATAAAAACCCCCAATTTGAACCATAGATTTCGAAAATCCTAGGAATGGCCATAGCTGAAATTGCTTACATCAACTTGAAGATCTCGCCGAGCTCTTCGTTTTGACGCAAACGGCACCCAAAAATTCCAACAATTGAAGGAGAAATCAAAGGTTGAAGTTTGCTTGGAGAAAGAAAAAGAAAAAATGAAGAAATGTGAGCGAGAGAGAGATATTATGGGGAGAGAGAGAAGAATGAGACCAAATGTGGTCTCTAGACCACAAATACAATTTAGTGGTAGGTCCCACCACTAAAAAAAAAACCTTTTTGATGTTTTTCTTTTTTCCTTTTATTTTCCACCCCCCCCCCCCCCCCCACACACACACACATATATATACACGCTATACAATAACCACATAAAACACAATAAATAAAATAAATGAAATACAAATGGACCCAATCTGAACCCCCGTACACGACGATTCCGGTGGCGGGTCCCACACGGGACTTTTCGGCCTGAAAAACGAAAAAATTGCCAAAATGGTAACCGGTGTATTCCCAAGAGTCCTAAATTAAAAAAAAAAAAAAAATGTGCCGACCAACTCTCGAACACACCTGGCACACTCCACGGTGTCTGGCACGTAACACAGGAAAAGACAAAAATGCCCTTGCAAAAATGGAATATTCCAGAAATTAAAAAATGACGAAAATTGGAAACTTTACATAAATTAATTCCATTTTATTTATTTATTTATTTAAAAAGGAGCTCTGTAATGATAAACAAAATATTACCCAAAAAAAAATAAAAAGAAAGAAAATTTAGTAAATAAATAACCAAGATTTCTAACAAAAATTTGTAATTTTGCATCTCAAGAAGCAAGAACAATATTATATATATATATATATATATATATATATATATATATATATATATATATATAAATAGAAGGTAAATTAATATTAATTATATTACTAGATGAATATTCTCTTGTATTGCCTTAGCCTCGGCTTATATTGAGCCACTGCCGCACAACAAGTCGGCCATTAAAAACTTATATATAGCCTGCAAATGCCACTTATGGTTTTACCGAAACCATTATTTTCAAGGACATAAATTTTTAACCATCCTGACATAGGTTTCATCTCATTATTAATGTTAAATTTCATTCCCCCTAATTATCACTTTATGATAGATTACCTCTCAAATTTTCACCTTTTGCAGATCATTCCCCCTAATTATCAACTTATCTAAATGTTCTCCTTTGGCAGGGAACGACAAAGGTTAAAGCTATCTGTCTTAACTTAAAGTCAGAGTCACAGGTTGAAGACTTTGAATTAGAGTCACATGTTAAAGCTCTCTGTCTTACAAATGAAGAATTTGCAATCCTATCTAATCTAAGGTTCCTTCAAATGGACTTGGTAAAGCTGGATGGAGATTTTAAGGGTCTTCTTTTAAATTTGAGATGGCTTTGCTAGAAAGGATGCCCACAAATTTTTAGCCCAATCAATTTTCATCTAAAGAATCTGGTCATTATTGATTTATCACAGAGCAACGTCACAGAAGACTTGGAGGGTTGGAATTATATCAAGGTTTCATCAATTTCTCTGCTTTTGTTTCGTGTACTCATCACATAAATCTCTGTAATTGATTCTAAGCAATTCTTTTTTTCCTTATTTTGCAGATTGCAACAAAGTTGAAAGTTCCAAATCTCACAGGTTGCAAAAACATGGTTAAGACTCCTGACTTCTCTTCATATCTTACTTTAGAAAGATTGATTCTTCAAGACTGTAAGAGTTTGGTTGATATTGACCCATCAATTGGGCATCTCAAGAGTCTAGTTTTCTTAAATTTGAAGAATTGTGCTAAACTCAACAGGCTGCCTCTTGAATTTGATAAAGTGGAAGCTTTAACAGAACTCCTTATCGATGGTACTGGTATAGAAGAAGTCCCTATTAGTAGAGGTGTTATGAAGAAGCTTGAAACTCTCAGTGCCACCTGTTGTCTATCATTGACTCAAATTTTGCCCTCAATCGATCACCTAACATCTTTGTTGGACCTTAAATTTGGTCATTCATTTGGTGTCACTAAACTACCAGACTCGATTGGTTCACTAGTGAAATTGCAGCGCTTGTCACTAAGGTACTGCAAATTAAAAGAGCTTCCAGACTCCATTGGGAAATTAGAATTATTAATTGAGCTGGACTTGTCATCAACAGCCATTACAGAATTACCAGATGTTGGTAAAATATATGCTTCAAGTGACATTTAAGATATAACAAACCTTATACTAATATGTCATGAGATAATTAACAATATGCTAAGAAATCATTAATTAAATATACAACTCTATATTTAATTAAATATGCAAAATAAATTAATGAAATAATAATTATAAATAAAGAACCTAGACCGAGGCTATTATTGGATACTATGTCCTTAAGACATATTCGCCCCGCTATGGTGCTAACGGACTCAGTGGCGTCTATCTCCCATGATACAACGGTCTACATCCACTAGTAGCAGCACTACAAACTCGTGGATACGGCGAACCTTCTCCGTGTAATATTCTCTCTAACTCAAAAATGCATCTATGCTATATAAATGCTGAATTGGGTGCAATTCGAATCAAATGGTTCGAACCAATCTTAATATGGCTCGATGAAATTCGATTAGGGTCTAAGTGGTTGAGCCACTTAACCTATGGTTTTAACCCACTTGGGTCGGGTTCAAGTCTAGAGAGGGAGATAGAAGAAAATGAAAAATGAACAACTTGCAAATGATCCAAAGGGGGGTATTTATAGAAACAGAAATGTCTTTTCAGATGGAGTGTATCTCTTCATTATTGGACACAACTATTACAATAGGTTGCAATGGTTCACATGGTGTCTGTTCACCACTAGACACATCTATTCCAATAGGTTGCAATGGTTCACATGGTGTCTGTTCACCAATAGACACATCCATTCCAATAGGTTGCAATGTGCCTTTTCGAGTGGGTGCAACCATGGGTTATGATGGTTCGGAAAAAGGTGTAACCCTTTGAAAAAACTAACAAGTGGTTTTTTAATTTAAAAGGTGTAACCCTTTAGAAAAACTAAAATATGGTTTTTTTAATTTAAAAGGTGTAACCTTTTAGAAAAACTAAAAAGTAGTTTTTTTTTTTTTAATTCAAAAAACCAACCACCCAAAAAACCCACCCATTTGTGAAACCCATTTAAATAAGCATAGCCTAAAATTAGGCCCAATCAAAAATTCCAAAAAAGAATAATCTGGACTTTACAATTAGGCCCAAGCCCAAGCCCAAATCCTAAACTCAGCTTATTTAAATTTCAATTTGTTTCAACAATTTTTTTTCTTCATGTGGGACAAACACTTCCCACATTTTGCATACCCATTTAAGCTTATCAAAACACCACACTTTGGAGCTAATTTCTCATTCACCTGAAAACGGATTTGAGAAAGTAAATATATCACGTTCATCTCCTTACGAAGAGAAATGCGCTCGTCTAGAGATCCGCAAAAAATTATTAGCGGAATCTATTCCTAATCTCATCCAAAGTTTATGTTTTTAATGCCCCCGTTTCCAACAATCCCCCACATGAATGGAAATTTGCGTAAAATGTAAAAGATGATCATGCAGACACTAGAGAGAGTATAATCGGAAAGATACTGCATCAGGATAGGTAGCTTTTGACTTTGAACCTTCCCTAGTATATTGCTATCGGATTTACTGGTTAACCAGTGAACGCGATGTCTTGAACTGTTCAGCCGTTTGTGTAAATCAAGACAGTAACAAACACACAGTAGCTTTCCTCACAAAGTTGGTTCTCATTGTTGTGTTCATTTTGGCCCTGAACAAGTCCTGGTATTCAATGAGTGCTTCAGAAAACTTAGCCTTTATAGTTCTCATAGAAGCGGCCTCACTTCAAACTCATATAGGTGACTTCTTATTAAGAGTATCCTACCATACCCCACTTGAATTTTCAAGGTATAAGAGTCATTAAAAGCATAGCTTATCCTAATCATCGCTGTAGGTAGCACTGTCTCATCATAAAAATGGGTAGAAGATTTATATCTTCCCAGTGCTTCTGGTGAGTCACTCAGAATTTCTGTTGTCCCTTTGAACCTAGATCTTGGGATCTCCAGTCAACTAGGTTGGGTTTCCATTAAGGTGACTCGTTAGCTTTCGGCTTTAAACCCCATTCCCCTCGATGAACTATACAATTGCTCTCTAATACAACCTTCAATTTTATATGTGGCCACAAGGTTGTGTTTAGAAATATTACACTCTGCAGAGATTTCTCCAGGTGAGAGCAACTGTATACTTTGTGCCCTAAAATTGCTTATTGTTAGCAATATCATTTTCTTTAGTGGCATAGGTGTAGACTTACTTTGAATTGTCCTCTAGGTGAAGTCTATTGACTTCCCTATTTGATTTATTCAAAGTTTCTAACTTTGAGTTATATTAAGAACATAGAACTACACCTTTAATATAAAAGACATATCTACTATTGGATTTGAAGTCTTTAATATCCCATATCCAGATTGCATCACTGTTACACCTCCAATTTAGTTAGATACCTCGATCTATGCAATATTGGATTTAGGGTGTATCTCAACTACCCAATTTATTGTTTTTTAGTGATCCGATCCTAGATTGAAAATGTGCAATTAAACACAGTTATTAAGATGCCTTGTAATCTCAACCAATGATATACTTTGGCTAATATTTATATTTGAGATTTACATCTACAAAATTTAGCTAGGCTTTTGTTATCATAACTAGTATTATCTCAATCTCACTCTATTGAGAATATAATATGTTATTAGATGTTAAATCTTTCATATCAAATATACTAATTAGTATATCATTAATGTTTTTTAAGACATACAATGACTTATACATCACATTTATGTCATTGTCTTGGTACTAGCTTTAATCCACTCAAGGACTTATAAGCTTGTACACTTTACTCTTCAATTAGAATAAATAACTCAGCTCTTCCGTTGAAAAAAGAACTTTTCTAGTTGTTCTATAATATTTTCCTCATAGGAAACAACATGCACTATTGTTATAATACTATAAATGATTTTTGGTTCTATCCAAAATTTCTTAGGATTAAGAACCTACATTTATAAGTATTTCTTATTTGGTGAGGTAACTCATAGCAAATTTTATCTATGGACAATATCCCTCCACAACTTTGGGATAATCCTGAAATTTTATATATGATATATTTCTTATGGTTTTTCAACTCTTGAAATACCATATATTAAATGTTACACCTCATCTACCTTTCCAAGGTTCTATATTCGTTTTTCAACAAGCATATTTAACAGTCTCTAGTGCATATGTACTCACTTTATCTTTAGCATATTTTATAATAATTCACCAACATTACCGTGAATTAATGCTAAAGATATTAATTCCAATGGGCTCTAATTAATATTTGCTTTTACTTCTTTTATATTTATAAATTGAGTTATTCATGTTTAGGTTCATGTTAAGTCAGTTATATTAACATGTTATAACATTTCATGTGTCACACATCACATAACTCAATCATTTAAGCAAATAACTATCTTATTATTTAAGCTTTGGATACAATCACCACAGAGTGAGCACTCACTTCTTAGCTATCATTACTAGTCAAAAGTGAGTTTTTAACTATCATTACTAGCTTAGATTAAGTACACTCTTCTCATATCTCACTACTAGGTTATGATGAGCACCCATTTTTTAGCTATTACCGCTAACTTGAAGTTAAGTTTGTTTAGCTATCAATTCTAGTAGTTCATAGTTTTAGTACACACTTATCTAAGTAGTCTACCTTGGTAGTAGAGTAATTTGTTTTGAAGAATATTCTTCAAAAACTACTACTTTACAAGTAGTATTATTCCCTCCTACATGAGCAGATATGATGAATAGCTCAAATAGCTTATGGCTAAAATAACTACTCATCACCCTCGTATTTTTTACTACCAAGTTGAGAGTTAGAACCAACTAACAGATTTTTCATCTTCCTCTTAGGTTCTGTGCACCTCATTAATCATTTTAGCTTATAGCTAAGCTACCTTGTTTGCAACTCAGTAACATTTTAGCTTTTAGCTAAATTGTACATTAGAGTTAACTAGTTTGATTTAGCTTGTCTCAGTGTACTAGCTTAGTGTATCCATAACATTTTCCATTAAACTTTTTAGAGTTATCGGAAAATCTTTTCTTATTTAGCCCATTCACAGTTATACGTGTTTTAGACACTAGTATAGATCTTTCTCCCTTGACTATTGGAAGAATTGACATACTTAGACTAATCAATTTTTGTCTGTTGTATTAAATACACAAACCAGTCATGAACTCATACAAAATTAATAATATCACACATTAAATAAGCTATATTGTAAAATTAAATTACTACGTACACTAAGTAATTCAACTACATATCTCAATATTATAATCTCAAATAATAAACTTTTGTAAAAATAATATTGAATTTGCATAACAATATAGTTTCATATTATATCACATGATTAATTATATCATATAATTAATTTAAGAAAAAAGATTTGTGGCTCATTCTCCAATAAACATACTAGAAAATTAGGACCAAAAGATGTAGACATTCTAGCCTACAAGAAAATGATATGCACTAATGTTGTAACCTATCAAAGGTTTTATGTAACGATTCACTCCATCACATAGTATGATATTGTCCACTTTGGGATCAAGCCCGCACGATTTTATTATTGGGTTTTATCTTAAAAGGCCTCATACCAATTGGAGATAACACCACTACATAAAATCACTTTACTTTTCCCTTACGTAGGTGGTGTGGGACTGTGCACCTGTAACTTGCTCAATGTGATAACATGTCAGTGCCTCTTACACCTACCCACGGCACACCCACCCATAAGGTTGCCACATTATAGGTCTCACTTTAACTTTCTTAGGAGAAAGTACAACCTTAGTTAGACACTCCCACATTTTTAAGAATTTATAGGAAGGTTTTCGACTTTTCCATAATTCATATGGTGTCATATTCATTTTCTTTAGAGGTATTTTATTGAGGAAAATAATTTGCGGCAAGCAGAACTTCCCTCCACAAATTCTGAGTTAAACCAGAACTTGTCAATATAGCATTCATCATTTCTTCGTGAATGATACCATATTCTAAACAAATATCAGCACATGATGTTTTGTATTCACAAATTCTCAACCTCACTTTTGTAATCTTTAAATATTTCTAAGGTTTATCTTTGCTTCGTAGCAAATATACATAATAGTATTTTGTGCAAATATTGATAAAAGTGACGAAGTACTTTTTTTCACCTCTAGTTGGCATATGTTTCAGGTAATGTCATATACTTCATAATATCATATTACAAAATTAAAATAATTCAACCAATATTGAATTATATATATATAAATAATTTAATAGTCTACTTATATAACATGCTTCAATTTCATATAATATTGAACACATCAATATTTAGCATATTATCATATAATAATGTATAAAACATTATTTTATTATATCTCAACTATTAGTATGATATCTACTTTTTTATATCTTAAATAGAAATATATAATAAAATTTACGCAAGGAATGAATCTGTCTTAAGATTGTTGGTAAAATATATGCTTCAAGTGACATTTAAGATATAACAAACCTTATACTAATATGTCATGAGATAATTAACAATATGCTAAGAAATCATTAATTAAATATACAACTCTATATTTAATTAAATATGCAAAATAAATTAATGAAATAATAATTATAAATAAAGAACCTGGACCGAGGCTAGTATTAGATACTATGTCCTTAAAATAGATTCGCCCCGCTATGGTGCTAACGGACTCAGTGGCGTCTATCTCCCAGGATACAACGGTCTACATCCACTAGTAGCAGCACTACAAACTCGTGGATACGGCGAACCTTCTCCGTGTAATACTCTCTCTGACTCAAAAATGCATCTATGCTATATAAATGCTGAATTGGGTGCAATTCGAATCAAATGGTTCGAACCAATCTTAATATGGCTCGATGAAATTCGATTAGGGTCTAAGTGGTTCGAACCACTTAACATATGGTTTGAACCCACTTGGGTCGGGTTCAAGTCTAGAGAGGGAGATAGAAGAAAATGAAAAATGAACAACTTGCAAATGATCCAAAGGGGGGTATTTATAGAAACGAAAATGTCTTTCCGGATGGAGTGTATCTCTTCATTATTGGATACAACCATTACAATAGGTTGCAATGGTTTACATGGTGTCTGTTCACCACTAGACACATCTATTCCAATAGGTTGCAATGGTTCACATGGTGTCTGTTCACCAATAGACACATCCATTCCAGTAGGTTGCAATGTGCCTTTTCGAGTGAGTGCAACCATGGGTTATGATGGTTCGGAAAAAGGGTTAAACTATTGAAAAAAACTAACAAGTGGTTTTCTAATTTAAAAGGTGTAATCCTTTAGAAAAACTAAAATATGGTTTTTTAATTTAAAAGGTGTAACCTTTTAGAAAAACTAAAAAGTAGTTTTTTTTTTTTTAATTCAAAAAACCAACCACACAAAAAACCCACCCATTTGTGAAACCCATTTAAATAAGCATAGCCTAAAATTAGGCCCAATCAAAAATTTCAAAAAAGAATAATCTGGACTTTACAATTAGGCCTAAGCCCAAGCCCAAATCCTAAACTCAGCTTATTTAAATTTCAATTTGTTTCAACAATTTTTTTTTTTCATGTGGGACAAACACTTCCCACATTTTGCATACCCATTTAAGCTTATCAAAACACCACACTTTGGAGCTAATTTCTCATTCACCCGGAAACGGATTTGAGAAAGTAATATATCATGTTCATCTCCTTACAGAGAGAAATGCGCTCGTGTAGAGATCCGCAAAAAATTATTAGCGGAATCTATTCCAAATCTTATCCAAAGTTTATGTTTTTAATGCCCCCGTTTCCAACACCAGATACTATTGGAAACCTAAAGTGATTGAGAATTCTTAAGATGGAATTTGGTCTGATAGTGAAGTTACCTAGTACCATCGGAATGTTACTGAAACTTGAAGAGTTAAATGCCTCGAATTGTTTCAGTTTGGAAGGCAAAATTCCAAGTAATTTTGGGGGACTATCGTCTCTGAGAATCTTAAGATTAGATTCAACAGGTATCTGTGGTCTACCAACAAGCATTTGTGGGCTTTCTCACCTCCAAACCCTTGATTTAGGGCATTGCGTAAATCTTTAGTTTGTCCCAGCCCTTCCCTTTAGTCTAGTGGGTCTAAAAGTCACTTGCAGGTTAATGAAGACATTTCTAAACCTTACTAGCCTGGTGAACCTAAAGGAGTTAAAAATTCCTGAAGGTATTGGTGCCCTTTCTCGGCTTACATTTCTCAATTGTGAACAACTTCAATGCCTTCCAACTCTTCCCTCAAGTCTAACGCTTCTCAGCGTAAGTAAGTGTGAACAACTTTAATGCCTTCCAACTCTTCCCTCAAGTCTTACATTTCTCGGTGTAGATAAGTGTAAACAACTTCAATGTTTTCCAATTTTTCCCTCAAGTCTTACGTCTCTTCGTGTAAGTGAGTGTGAACAACTTCAATGCCTTCCAACTCTTCCCTCAAGTCTTACGTTTCTCCTTGTAAGTGAGTGTGAACAACTTCAATGCCTTCCAACTCTTCCCTCAAGTCTTACGTCTCTCTTTGTAGATAAGTGTGCACAACTTCAATGCCTTCCAGCTCTTCCCTTAAGTCTAAACTCAATATATGTTACATATTGTAAGTCAATGAAGAGGTTGCCAGATCTGTCAAATTTGAAAAACTTATCAGGTCTTCATGTTTGGAAGTGTTTAAAATTAAGGGAGATTCCTTGCCTTGGAAGATTAGAACTCCTAATAGAATTATATTTAGATGGGTGTGAATCACTAGAAACACTACCCGATCTTTCCAACTTCATGAAGGTAAGGAAATTAAGTATTGCAGATTGCAAGAATTTGAATGAAATTACGGGCCTTGATAGATTGGAATCCTTGCAAGATTTGAATATGAGTACTTGCACATCCTTGGAAAGATGGCCTGATCTATCCAAATTGGAAAAGCTGGAAGGATTAAATCTCGGTCACTGCAAAAGGACACATGAGATTGAGGGTCTTGAGGATTTGAAATCCTTAAAGAAGTTGGATTTGTCATGGTGCACAGCCTTGGAGAAGACACCTGATCCGTCAAGACTAACAAATTTAGAGACATTGAGACTTTGCAAGTGTGAGAAACTTAGTGAGATTTGTGGATTTGAGGAACTCAAACTCCTAAGAGAGCTGGACTTGTCATCCTGCATGGCCTTGGAGAGGACACCTGATTTGTCCTGACTAACAAATTTAGAGACATTGCGACTTTGTAACTGTGAGAAACTTGGTGAGATTTGGAGACTTGAAGAACTGAAAATCCTAAGAATTTGGACTTGTCATCCTGCACGACCTTGGAGAGGATACCTGATTTGTCCAAACTAACAAAGTTAAGGACATTACGTCTTTGTAACTGGGAGAAACTTTCTGAGATTTGGGGACTTGAGGAACTGAAACTCCTAGAATTGTTGGACTTGCCATCTTGCACGGCCTTGGAGAGGACACCTGGTCTGTCCAGACTAACAAATTTAAAGACATTGAGACTTTGTAAGTGTGAGAAACTTATTGAGACCTTGAGACTTAAAGAATTGAAACTCCTAAGAGAGTTGGACTTGTCATCCTGCATGGCCTTGGAGAGGACACCTGATTTGTCCAGACTAACAAATTTAAAGATATTGCGACTTTGTAACTGTGAGAAACTTGGTGAGATTTGGGGAATTGAAGGGCCACGACGAGTAAGCTGCTTCTTGTACATTTTTGGATGCAAGTCACTAGGAAAATTACCAGACCTTCCAAATATTTACACACTGCGTGCAAGTCACTAGGAAAATTGCAGGATGTCACGGTAATTATCTATTTTGTGTTAATCCATTTTGTCTTCGTATGATGGTTTTTTCCCCCTTTAATTGATTGTAACTGTGATTGTTTCTCTGTTCTCTCTTTGTGTGTTTTCTTCTGTTAGGGCGTAGTCACTCACTCTCTCTCTCTCCTCCCCAGCATCTCACCGATCTCAAGAACTCTTCCACTTCGAGGTGATTTCAAGACTATGGCTCAGTTTGAAGCGAATGGAGTCATGGAGACATCGTTCTATAATTCTTGTATATTTTAGGGCTCGGAACTGAAGCTCCAAATTCACACATGCATGTCAAAAGAATGAATGAAAGATCAATTTCATAATCCCCAACTTCGAGAGGCCATTAATCTGTTAAGGCTCCATTTCATGCATTCAATCAATCTCTGAACATGGAGAGACAATCTTCGCTCAAGGTAATCTAATACCTTTGCAACAGAACCATGAATTGATTATTTTGATATTTTAGTTGTTTCTCGGTTAAGGTTTGAGGTCATGTATTACAGAACAATCGTCAAAGCTTTAAAGGAATCAAAATGTTTTCCTAAGATGTTTTCTTTCTTAAAATTGTTTGGATACAGATTTTTTGGCTCATATTAAAGTGAATAAAATTTCTCAGAGGTATTTAATTTAGACTTATCAACTACTAATGTGCAGAACATTTGATATTTATCATGTTATAATATTATATATATTCTACTCAATTTTAGATATATGTTAATAATGGTTATATATATCCAACAGGTCCTCAATTGTGGTTTGAAAGCTGGGAAGGACCAATGCTTCAATTTCTGCTTCTATGGAAAAAACACACTATGTGGTAAGGTTTAATGTCTCCATAAATATTAGGAGATTCATGGTACAACTTAATTAAATCATATTGTTTGAACCATATTTTGAATTTTGATGGCTAAAAATAAAAAATAAAAAAACTCAAAAGAAAAGCTCATATTTGATGAGATGCTTAATCTTTTATTGGCTTGTCAAGTAAATTTTTTTTCATACGAGCTGCATTTATTTTGCTAGAGCACAAGCGCCCTTTTTTGCCGCTAACTGGAGCTCAAATATTACTTCTATATTAAGCCTTTTGGGACTGATTTGGTCTCTAATATCATTCGGTACTTGATAATCTCTCTCTCTCAACATGTGAAGTCTCAAACTAGAATCGGCACAATATCGCGATTTTTATCATTCAGGACTGAGATAAAAGTTTCAAACTGGAATCGGCACAATATCGCGAAGTGGCAGCCCTTGCTCAATTTGGGTGAGATTGATCATAGATCTCTAAATGAATGCTTGTTTTCATTTCCTAATGGCTATGCTATGGTTGAGTGGTATTTTTGGTTGCTTAACCAATTTTAATTTCGTTTCCTAGATTTGGTTGCTGTTACTGTCTTGATTGTTGAAGCTGTAAGGGTTGGGTGCTGCCTGTCCACTCTGTGTTGGTGTCATTTGACTTGTTCTGCTCTTCACTTGACTTATTCTTTAGTGTCACTTGGATGGTGCTCTTTAGTTAATTTAGTAGATCTGATGTATACTATACTATTGTGCTACTACACAGTTGTATATATATTGACTGAAATTATACTATACTATTGTGCTACTACAAAATTATCAAATGGAGTTAATTCAATTTTTTATTCAATACATGTGCAACTTCCAATTCTTATAATGTTTTTCTTGTCAAAATTCAATTTCGAGGTGTTATTATTACTTCTTCTTTTTTTTTAATAAAAAATGGATATACATGTTTTTTGTTAGTCGGTACTTACACACACGACTTCATTAAAGTTCGAATCTCTAACCTCCCTTTATAAAGTATTAGTGGCTCGGTATCGCTAACCATTGGTCATGTACATGTTCTCATTTGTTCATTTGATTATTATTATAAAGTTGGACCATGGAACAAAAGGGCAAGTTTCAATCAAAGAGTAGCCATATGTTTTTTAAATAGCCAATACTCTGACTTATTGGTAATTCCACTGTTGATCAGACAAGTGAAAAATGTATAATTTGTGTGTTGCAAGAGCCAATACTCTCATATTGTTCATTCAAGTCTTTATCAAACAACTGGAAAATGCCTTAGGGCAAAATTTAATCAGTGTCATTTAGTATAGAAACTAGATGATGAAGTTCCAATTGTATGGACAGGCCAAATCAAGTAATAAACAGGAAAGCCAAAACAGTAGAGCCAAACTTTTCGAGGAAAATTTTTTCCACTCATTTCAACTCTCTACTCGTTCTTGAACATTCTGAATTTCCTTTATTTTCAAATTGCAACTCCAGTAAATGAGAGGCCAATGATTTAATCCGACTATTGTAGGGAGTTTATCAAGGATAGCTAATCACAATGTGAAAAATTGCTTAGAAATAGTTTAGCTTGTCTTTGTGTCAAAACCAGTCCACACCACTTTGCACTCTCCCCACGGTGTTCACGATTTTCTTCAAAATGCTGCGTCTTGTACAATTTAGAAGTGTCTACACATGTAAATGCCTATCCAAAGCTTATGTAATAAACATTAATGGAGAGGAAATCTTTCCTGCACAAAATACTAACAAGACATCAACAAACATAATATAATTTAATTTCAGTTTAAGCATATTCTAAGTTGTATTTAAAATTCTCCTGTTGAGTGTCAATGCCTTAGCAGTAGAAAAAAATGTCTTTTATAATTGGAAATAATTATTACCAAAATGATTTTTATTTTAACTACCAATTTTTTTTTAGCAACACTTGCTTGTTATCTTATTTGTTTAAAGTGTTTTACTGCCAAAATTTGTGCGGCACTTTTACTGTTATCAAATATATTTTTATATTCTTGTTTTAAGAAATTCATATTACAAATTTTACATTTCTAAACATGTTTTTAATCTCAAATGTGTACAAACCACAACAAAATATATGTATATATATATATATATATATATATATATATTGAATGGAAATGAAAACACAAAACAACAACGTTGCCTTCACGAACATATTTGACTTATTTGCTTACACTTAATTTGTCCCCACTATTATTTAAGGATTTCAAATTTTCCTTCTTTTTTTTTTTAATTTTGAATTGTTTTGTTAATATAAATCCTAAATAAAAATGAGATAAATAAATAAAAAAGGCGCTAGAAAAAGTTGACAGTTTTCAGTCGGCCCAAGAAAATTATTAGGGCTTATTCATTGGAGTGTAAATTCGGTGATCGTGGATGAAGTCCATAAATGGGGATAAAGGATTGGAGATCAGAACCGTTGGAAGCATCAATCACAGCTGTCGCGAGTCAATGGTGGATTATCTGAAGAGGCAGATTCATCAGCACTCTTGCTGCATCAAATACGATGACCTTCCTTTCTCTGTTTCTCACTACTTGATGATTAAACCAACTGGTAAATCCTTCCTTAATTTTACCCCATTTCTCTCTATAATCTATTTGTCACATATGTCTTTTGCATTTGTATATGTTGGGAAGTTATAAGGAAGAACACAACATTTTCCCATCTCAGGGCTATTCTGGTAATTAAAACGGAGTACCCATTTTTAATTTCATGAAATTTTTCTGCCCTTACTTTTCATTCAGTTGCTCATAATTTCTATTTTATTTGATTCTTACGCATTATTATAATGCTTTGTTATTTAAAGGGAAATATAAGGAATGAATAGGAAATTAATTGATATCTAAATCCATATTTATTGAAATCAAAGATTGAGATTCTTATATTTTTTTAGCAGTAGGGATTTAAAATGAATTAGATAATGGGATTCTACTTTTCAAGATTTTTTTGATACTCATAATAATGAGCATCATGCTTCTTACTACTTTTTCTTTTTTCTTTTTTCTTTTTTTTTTAGCACCAGGAACTCACCTAGGCAGAGTCCCTTCTGACCCACCCTAGGTTACAAATCTGGGGGTGCAGAGTCTCACCCCAATGATACACTGGGTAAGCCGGAGAAATTGGAAGGCTTGATAGGAGTCGAACACTTGCAAAAGGATATGTAATTTTTTTCAAATTTTCCTTGACCTAAAGAAAGAGTGAACTATACTATGCTACTACTTGTCAAACCTTTTCCCTTCCTAAGGGCTATTTTAGTAAATAGCTCTCTTCCTTTCTTTCTTTGAATGTAACATCCTCTCTTTCAGTCCAGCGAATCTTGCCACGTCCACGCACTTTATTGAAGAATTTCTTCAATTTCTTAATTTCCACAAGCATTATTGATGATAATTGAGAAAAAAAAATTAATTTCATAATTTCCACACGCTTTATTGAAGATAATTGAAGAAATTTTTTTAATTTCATAATTTGAAATTAATAAAGTTTATGAGAGAAGAGAATATAAATGAAACGAGAGAATAGTATGGGGTACTTATGGTGTTTGGTTGACTTATAAATAAAAAGAAA